AAATGTTTTGACACCTAAAACTCCATAACACTCAAAATTAAACCCTAATAGAACATAATTAACCCAAACATAAATAATATAAAGAAAAAATAATTTTGAAAAAATGGCATTTTTGTAAAGATTTTAAAAGTGTAACATTTTTGTAAAGTGTCATTTGAAAAGTGGCATTTTTTTTAATTTCTCAAATTATAAAGGTAGAAAAATGAAAATGAAAGGGAAGGACCACGTAAGAGAAAGGAGTAAAAAGTATGATTGTCCGAAAGAGAGTTGCAGATTTTACATGAAGAGATTGGAAGTCGTAGCTTACTAGCCGTGACAGTCTTGGAGTAGTAGTGTGGTCCTTCTCTCACCTGATCCCTTCTCTCTCTCCTCATCACTCCACGGACATAACTCATAACTATGCAAATCCACCACATTTTTTGCCTCTCCATCATTAACACTCTACTTAATAATGTGTGTTTACACACCATGAAGCGCATGTTTTCTTATATATACTAAGTATTGAAATAAATAATAGTATGTCATTTTACCTAAGAAAAGAAGGTATCGATCATGTCACAATTTAAAAAGTTGTATCCACTTGCTATAGCAAAGGAACCTTCTTGTGGTGGTATTGGGTCTAGGACTAATGACGTAAATTTGCTATAACTCCATGTTTTGGTCTTGTATAGCCTTTGCGGACATGCCACTTGATCATTAAGCTTCAATTCAGACGTTTCGAAATTTAGACGTTTTGGCAAATTACGAATATCCGATATTATCTAAGAAAAAAAACTTTTTGGTCAAACCTTTTATTAAGTAAAAAAACTTAAACAAAGTCGAGAGTTCGAAGAGCCTCTTTGCGAGTGAATCCGCCTTTACATTTTTCATACGTGGAATGTATCCTATTGAAAATGAATTGAATTGAGAAATTAGTTTTTGAACGTCGCTAAAGATGAAGAAGATCATATGCGAGTCACCAGAAAAAAATAGATGTTCACTTATACTTTTAATACTAATATTTCGTTTATAATTTTAAAACTAATACGGGGTAATGAAGAAAAACTACCGATATATTTTTATTAGTTTTACATATATTTATTAATGTTTTCCTGAAATTAAGAAACTAAATTTTGAAAATTGCAATTTATTATGAAAAAGAAACAAAAAATCTAAAACTAAAACGACAGCGTTGAATTTAATCGGAGAGCTTTGAATTTAAAATCTTTCTTAGTGTTTCTAAAAATAATTTAAAAATTATTGCAAAAATGCCACTTTTGGTGTGTTCATTTTTAAAAATGTTATTATGGGTTGTCCATTTGTAAAAATGCAACT